CTAGAATAGAGATAGCAACAGTCATAAATATGGTTCCTGATAATCCTAGAATAGAGATAGCAACAGTCATAAATATGGTTCCTGATAATTCTAGAATAGAGATAGCAACAGTCATAAATATGGTTCCTGATAATTCTAGAATAGAGACAGCAATAGTCATAGTTTAGGAATAGAAGTACAAGAAGGTTAAGGAATAGGAGTAAGACAAAGTTTAGAAATTGGAGTACACAAAATGTTTTACCAAAAGTGCTTAGCTTAACTTTTTGCTATCAAAGCCACTTCAGAATATTGCAATAAAACAAATAAACTAATCTCTTACCTATATTTGTGAAAGGATATATAACATGAGGAAAAGTAAGTGTGTAAATTCTAAACAAATATAACTTTAAATAAACGTAATTTTATTATTTTTATAATTTAAAGGGACTGTGATAGTAATTTCATGTGACCCTCCATGCAAAGATGGCAATACCAAATTATCAACGGTATCCTTGACACCTTAATCTAATCAAAACGTGGTTTCTAGGAAAAGTGCTTAATTCTGATAGTTTATCCATTCTTACCTACAAGCAAGAAATGCGCAATTCAATTTTGCAGAAGAACCACAAATTTAAACAAAACAGTTTTCAAAAATAAAATTTTTGAGTTCTAATTCAGATTTGATTAGACAAAGTGTTTAAGGGTACTGTTGGAATTCCCTAAAAGAATTTAGTTTATCTATTTTTAATTTTGAAAATAGCTATTTTACAGTCAATCCAATTTTTAAGAAGCCATAATGAATCGTTTTTTGGAATAGAACGGTTCAAGGGTGAAAGTGAAAATGTTGTTTTTATTTTCTTACTAGTGATTAAAGCTATTTACTTTACTTACAAAACAAAAATGGGAAATTGATAAAAAAAAGTATCTGACACACTTTGGCTGAAAACTAGAAAACATTCGAATTCTTGTCGTTTTATAATTTTATATAGCTTACCCTAGAATTATCTAATTTGCATCTTATCTAATTATAATTTTATATAGTTTACCCTAGAATTATCCAATTTGCATCTTATCTAATTATAATTTTATATAGTTTACCCTAGAATGATCCAATTTGCATCTTATCTAATTATGATTTTATTTACTTTCGCCTAGAGTTATCCAATTTGCATCTCAACTATTTATAATTTTATATACTTTCGCCTAGAATTATCCAATTTGCATCTCAACTATTTAAAAATTTCCTTCACAATTTGAAGGATATACGAGATTATATAAGTTACAATACTTGCAATTAAAAAATCCTTAGCGACATTTCTAAAGTAAAAGGAAAACCAAGAAGGCATGTATTCTAGAGTTTAATAGCTCAGCCATGTATCAAGTTAAAAATTTCCAAAATTTCCATTGAAATATTTAGATATTAACTATAGTGCAAAGTGCAGACTAATTTGATTGTTTATAGAGATATACTGCTTGTCTTGCAAAAATGCAGCCTGGAAAATAAACAAGAGCTAGGAGAGACTAGAGAGGCCTCGATATACAGAGTGTGCCATGAAAATTTAACTTTTATTAAAAAAACTTCAACGCTAGGAAAGAAAGAATATTTAATCCTAAGACTAAGAGGGTAGATGGTTTCTCTGGCGAAAAAAATAGACGTTTTAATATGAAAAGTCCAATTATATTGTTTATGTGACTTTGTTTTTGCACTGTAAATTTTCATCTTAATCTATGCTGCTTGAGGGAGCCCCATGGGANGTACATATCTGTCAATGGGATGTTTCTGTTTTATCTTTGTTTTTGTCAAGAAATAATTCTATTTGGAAAAGTATAAAGCACTCCCTTGGAACTGAAAATATAAATGATCTATTTTTAAAGTTTTATTTCCTTGTGTTTGCTTGCTCAAATGCTTTCATTGTATAATTGATCCCGCCGAATACTATGTAGATCGTATCAAACACAGCTGAAAATAAATAGTTATATTAGTACTGATTAATCGCCTCAACTGTAATTCTTTATATATCTTCTCAACCTGATGGCGTACATTTTAAAGGGAGTGACTGGATATGTAAGGTAGTTGAACAGAGTATGCAGTGTTGTGAAAAACTTCTTTCGGATTCATTGGAGCCATATAAAAATTTTTAAAGATCTGTAAATCCTGAGTTTGAGCGCAAATTCGACGTTCAAAACTCCTACTTTGGGGGTGGATACGTTTTCAGAATTTACTCAGGATTTACAGATCTTTAAAAAGCTTAATATGTTTTAAATGAATCCGAAAGAAGTTTTCCACAACACTGCATACTCAGTTCAACTACCTTACATAGCCGGTCACTCCCTTTAAGCAACAAACTTTGAATATGTATTTAATCTAGCCCTGTAAAAATGTGGAATAGGAAGACGACAGTTAGACTTAAGTTATGATTTGAAATAATTCAATGAACATAAAAAAAATAGCAATTGTGCAGTGTGTGCAGACCCATTTACATTTAATTAGCTGTTTTTCCACCTACTGGCAAAACTATTTAGGTAAGTTATAATTTTCTTTTGAAAAATATTTATAAAGATGAAAATTATCATTATTCATTAACTTTTCTTGACATTTGAACTGAAGTATTATGCTGATAACAGGGTCCCTGTGGGACTTGAGTAACCTTTTACCAATTTTACAAATTCATTTTCATGAAACTTTAAAATAACAGTTTTGAGTTCTAGAATCTAGGCTAATTAAAGGGACTGTCGACGAAGTTCACAGATGACCTTAATTACTTTAAAAGTTTTATGTCGACTCTTTTTTCCTTTTCTCTAAGTAAAAAGGAGAAAGATATCGTCGCTTCTCTGTTTTTTTAAATTTGATTATTTACTTCCATTTATCATATTAAAAGATATTGTCGTGAATCCTGCATGTAACTCCTAACTCATTAATGCAGGTTTGTAGAAGTGTAAAAAACTGTTTTCTATATTTCAGGTTTG